AATGTGACCCTAGAACAAATAGACATATACAGAACACACCATCACAAAGCTAAGGAATATACACTTTTTTTGTCATCCCATGGTAAGTACTCCAAAATCAACCACATCATAGGATACAAATCAAACCTCAGCAAAATTAAAAGAATAGCAATTATACCTTGTATCTTCCCAGACAACAAGACAATAAAGTTGGAACTTAACTCCAACAAAAATGTTCATCCCCACACAAAGACTTGGAAATTAAACAAGTGAATAATAGTTAGATTTAGGATGAGATAAAAGAGAAAATTGCTAAATTCCTCAAACATAACAACAATGAAGACACTAGTTACCAAAACAATTGGGATAAAGAAAAGCAGTCTTGAGAGGGAAATTTATTGCATTAGAGGCCTACATTAAAAAAACAGAAAGAGCTCAACAAACTCATGAACCATCTTATGGAATTTGAAAAAGCATAACATTCTAATCCCAAACCCAGCAGAAAAGAAGAAATAACGAAAGTTATATCAGAGATGAATGAAATTGAAAACAAAAGAATCATTCAGAAAATTAATGAAACATACTTATTTCTTTGAAAAAATTAAAATTGATAAACCATTGGCCAGAATAACTAGAAACAGAAAAGTTAAATCTCTACTAACCTCAATCAGAAATGATAAAGAGGAAATAACAACAGATGCCACAGAGATAGAAGAGATCATGACTGAGTACTACAAGAAACTCTATGCCCAGAAATTTGACAATGTGGAGGAAATGGATCAATACCTGGAATCACACCCTCTCCCTAGACTTAATTAAGAAGAAATAGCTCTCTTGAACAGACCAAAATCAAGCACTGAGATCAAAGAAACAATAAAAAATCTCCCAAAAAGAAAAGCCCTGCTTCAGATGGCTTCACCCCAGAATTCTATCAAACCTTCAAATAAGAGCTTATACTCATAATGCAGAAATTATCCCAAAAAATTCAGAAGGAAGGAATCTTTCCCCAAAAGATTGTACAAAGCAAACATCATCCTGATACCTAAACCAGGAAAAGACCCAACTGAAAAGGAGAATTTCATACTGATCTCACTAATGAGTATAGATGCAAAAATTCTCAATAAAATCCTAGCAAATAGATTACAGCTTGTCATTTAAAAAGTCATACATCACCATCAAATAGGTTTTATCCAGGGATGCAAGACTGGTTTAACGTACACAAGTCCATAAACATAATGCACAATATCAAAAGAAGCAAAAACAAAGACCATATGATCCTCTCAATAGATGCAGAATAAGCATTCCACAAAATTCAGCATCCTTTTCAAATGAGAACTCTGAAGAATATAGGCATAGATGGCACATTTCTTAAACTAATCGAAGCCGTCTATGACAGACCCATGGCTAACATTACACTGAATAGAGGAAAATGCAAAACTTTTCCACTTAGTACTGGAAACAGAAAAGGTTGTCCTCTATCACCACTACTATTCAACACAGTGGAAGTTCTAGCCAATACAATCAGAAAAGAGAATGAAATAAAAGGCATCTAAATAGGGGCAGAAGAGGTCAAACTCTCCTTCTTTGCTTATGATATGATCTTATATTTAGAGAACCCCAAAGACCCAAACACAAGAGCCCTGGAAGTGATCAAAAAATATAGTAATGTCTCAGGATATAAAAGCAATGTCCACAAGTCAGTAGCCTTTCTATACAACAATAAAAGCCAAGATGAGAATCTAATCAAGAACACAATTCCCTTCACAGTTGCTTCAAAGAAAATGAAATACCTAGGAATACACCTAGCAAAAAAAGATGAAGGACTTTTATAAAGAAAGTTATGAAACTCTAAGAAAAGAAATAGCAAAAGACATTAACAAAGGAAAGAACATACCATGCTCATGGCTGAGAAGAGTCAACGTAGTGAAAATGTTTATACTACCCAAAGCAATCTACAGATTCACTGCAATCCCTTTCAAAATAACAACATCATACTTTCAAGACTTGGAAAACATAAATCTTCTTTTGTATGCAACCAAAAAAGAAAAAAAAAAACAAAAACAAACCATATAGCAAAGGCAATTCTTAGTAATAAAAACAAAGCCAGGGGTATCAGCCTACCAGAGTTTAGGTTGTACTACAAGGCCAGAGTGACTAAAGCAGCATGGTATTGGCACAAAATAGAGATCTAGACATTGGGAATGAAATAGAAAACGATGAAATGAAACAAACATCACCCAGCCACCTAACCTTTGATAAACCAAACAATAACATTCACTGGGGGGAAAGAATCCCTATGCAATAAATGGTGCAGGGAGAACTGGATAAACACATGTAAAAGACTGAAACTGGACCTGCATCTTTCTCCACTCACCAAAATTGGTTCAAGATGGATAAAAGATCTAAATCTAAGGCTTGAAACAATAAAAACCCTCGAAGAAACTGTGGCGAAAACACTCGAAATTACTGGACTGGGGAAAGACTTTATGAAGAAGACTTCAGTGGCATTTGGAACAACAAAAATAAACAAAGAGGATTTAATTAAATCGAATAGCTTCTGTATAGCTAAGGAGACAACAACTAAAGCAAATAGATAACCATCAGAATGGGAAAAGATATCTGCATATTATGAGTCAGACTCAATCTTGATAACTAGCATCTACAGAGAACTCAAATTGATCAACATAAATAAAGCCTATAATCCCTTATGTCAATGGTTAAGAGAGATGAATAGAACCTTCTCTAAAGAAGATAGATGAATGGCTAACATGAAAAAATACTCATCATCCATAATTATCAAATAAATGAAATCCAAACTCACCATAAAATATCACCTAGCCCCGGTGAGAATAGCCCATATGACAAAATCTCAAAGCTGCAGATGCTGGAGTGGATGTGGAGAGAGGGGCACACTGTGGCAGTGCTGGTGGGACTGCAAACTAATATAATCTCTCTGGAAGGAAGTGTGGAGAATCCTCAAAAAACTCAAACTAGACCTCCCATTTGATCCTACAATCCCATTACTGGGCATCTATCCAGAAGAAAACAGATGACTTTATCATAAGGACAGTTACCCTAGGACAGCTCAATTTACAATCACCAAACTGGGGAAACATCCTAAAGGACCACTAATCCAGGAACAGATTAACAAGCTATGGTGTATGTATACCATGGAATATTATTCAGCCACTAAAAATGATGGAGACTTTACATCTTTTGTATTAATCTGCATGGACTTGAAACACGTTCTTCTTTCTAAAGCATCACAAGAATGGGAAATGAAGAATCTAATGTACTCAATTCTGATATGAGGACTTTTGATGACCTCGCTGCATGTTTTAACTGGTGACAGCTGCTATCTGTGAACTGTGCTTTTTATCCCTGTTGTCCCCAAAGAATGAAGATGCATTCCAGCATCTTCCCAAACAAAGACTCAGAGAAAAGGAATCATGTCCATGAAATTAAAGTAGGGAAGGTGACAGTGAATGGTCCCAGAGCCATCTCCCACACAGAGGACTCATTCTGCACCTGGGAATCCAGGATCTCTCTGGGACATAGTCTAAGGATAAGGAAGGCCCAGTTTCCCAAGGCTTCAGGGCTCAGAGAATGATCTACAAAGACTTGGACACATGCCAGTGACACATAGGGAACTGGGCAGAGAGGACCTGGGCAGCCAGGCCACACAAGCTGCATTTTTATCCCCAGAGATACCCCACACACATGTGGGCAGTTCATATAGCCTCTGGAGACAAATGTCCCATTTGCAGTGGGAAGCCAGTGAGAGGAGGTGTGATTCTCATTGATCCCATGAAGATGATGCAAGTTGAGAATATCAGACTTTCTGGGAGCACAGGTGACAGCAGAAGCCACAACCTCAGCAGGTATTGGTCAAAGGAGGGGACAGATGATGGATGGATTTGATGGTGGATATGAAGGGTAGATCCTGGTCTCATTCTCCCATGGATGGGAGCTCTTCATGACATTGGGTTGTATTCAGCCATGACAGCTATGGTCAGCCTGTCCCTGTCCCTAGAAGCAAAGGTGTCAAGGAGGTCATGTTGACAAAGGAGAATCCAGAAAAACCCCCAAACATCCAAGACTGCTGTCTGGTCACAGACTCAGACTTTCTGTCTGGGGACTCTTGGTAACCAGGCTCCACAGTCACCCCCAATGATCCATGCACATCATGAGCTCCACTGGGAGAGTGACATAAGGCACACATTGGGACACTTCTGGCCCCTAATGTCCCACAGACCCTACATCACATCCTGGAGTGTTCAAAAGGCCAAATGAGGCACGAGAGGAGTAGACAGAAGTCAGTGTCATGGGCTTAGGGAAGCCCGCCCATGAGATCCCCATGTGCCTGAGTGGGATCAGCTGTAGGAAAGCCAAATTCATGGGACCTACTTCCCCCACCTCCTCTGGTACAGGATCAGCATTTCCCAGCTGAAGTGGAACCTGTCCTTCCCCTCTCACCTCCCCGGGAAGGTTGCTGCCTCAGACCCATAGCAGCCCCCACACCCACCCTCTATCCTGAAGAGACAGCTAAAGATGCAGGAACCCATGAGTGAGCCCGGCCAGCTCTGTGCCTGGAATTCCTCCCTGATCCATGTCCTTAGTCAGTAATTCCACTGCCCAGTCCATGGCTTGTAGGGAGCCTGAGGCAGCCCTGAGCTCAGGTGACAGGGAGGGAAGGGGAGGTCTCTCCCATGACAACTGCTGTCCATGCTGTAGGACTGTCCATGGCTTGGATGGTCCCTGGGCACTGACCAAGACGTGAGCCAAAGGAGGGTCATTTTCAACCTTTTCAGACCAGTTCCACAGACACAATCACCAGATTGTTTTTGTTTTTGTTTTAGTTTTCCTCAGACTTCAGGAACAGTGAATGTAAAATTGAGAGAAAAAATATTTTAAACCAGAGGTGCTTTCAAGTACAGTTTGAATACATGGAACACATTTTAAAATTTAAAAATTAACATAGAACAAGACCCTGAGCAGGCTGAGGTTTTTGTCCCACTTCCTCATCTGCCTGTGTCACTGTGTAAACCACTGCTGTCATTACTTTCACAGTAATAATCAGCCTCATCCTCAGACTGGAGGTTGGAGATAGTTAAGTAGCGTTCAGCCCCAGAGCTGGAGCCTGAGAAGCGGTCAGGGATCCCATCTCCCTTGTTGCTGGTTCCATCACTCTGAAGCCACATCAAGTACCGAGGGGCCTTCCCTGGCTGCTGCTGGTGCCATGCAATGCCATAGCTGCTGTGCCCACTGTCCAGGGTGCAGGTAACCTTGACCGAGGATCCCAGGGAGGCAGAGGCAGAGGGCGGCTGAGTCAGTGCAAGCTGTGAGAGGGACCCTGGAAACACAGAAACTCATTGTGGCCTGGAGGAAGGATGAGAGGAAAGGACAGTCCAGGCACGAGTTTGGAAAGTGGGAGGGGGGGTAGATGTTGAGATCCGTCCTGACCTGTGCAGTGAAGGAGGAGGGTGAGGAGGAGTGGGGTCCAGGCCATGGTGCAGACACTGCAGAGCTCTGCTGAGGCAGACAGGCTGCTGTCCTCTCTTATCCTCCCTCCAGCCCCAGAGGAGAGAGGGGGGCAGTGCATGCAAATGTGCTGCTCTTCCCCTGCCCATCCAACCTCACCTGGGCCTGTGTGAGCCACAGAGGCTGGGTGTCACTTCTAGGAGGGGGACTGGGCTGGGCTTTTCTGAGACTCCCCAAGGTCCCAGAGTATACTCTGCTGCCAGCCCCAGAAAGCCCTGGGCAGAATTCAGTTCCAGGTGTCTTGTGTTCCCAGCTGATCCCCACAGAGCCCTCAGTGACAGCCCCACAGCGCCCCCTGCTGACACGTCCAGGTCCAGAATGTCTAGGATCAGATGCCAGGGGGTCCTGACAGAGGTCCTGCCCCACCAGGGCCTTGACCAATGCCAGCTCCCTGCCCAAGGGCAGAGCGAGGCCCCTCCTCAGGGCAGCTCCGACCTCATCCCGCCTTTATTCTTTTCTTTGCGCCTTCTCAGTGGAAACAGAATACACAGCTTTTCCCACATTAAGGGGATGGGGTGTCTCCTGCACAAACTGTACGTGAAATAAGATGCATTTTAGCTGAGAGCAGGACAGGTCAGACACGATCCTGCTTCCCAGGCTGCTCTTGAAACTGGGTTTCTCTCTCCCCACTGGACCCTCAGGAGGTCGCACACAGGGAAGGTAGTGAGGAGTGTCTGTGGGATAAAGGAACAGGCTGGAGACCCGCTGAGTCACTGGGGAGTAAGGAGAGACCCAGCATGGAGGAAAAGGTCCTCATTGTGATGGAGAAGTGAATCAGCTCACTGGGGGCTTCTTGTGAAGTGGGAGATCAGAGAAATACAAGAAAAATAGAGGATGTGAGTGAAAAGTTCTTACAAGTCCATATCTTTTCTTATGCAAATCTTTTAGTAGTTGGTTGAAGAGGTCAAAGGAGAGGAGGGATGTTGAGTGAAAGGGAGAGAGACCCAAAGACTGAGATGGAGAGTAGTGAGTCAGAGAGAGGAAGAGGGAGAGGCGGGAATAGACTTCACTGTGGACGGGGTGGAGGGAAAACCAGTGGGGAGATTGGGTGGGGGTCAGAGGTGGAGTTTGGGGTGTGTTAGCTTTCATTCTAGTCTTTTTCCTGTAGAAACTGGGGCCTCTCCCAGCTCCTCAGCTGCCTTCTCTGGTCTTCTTCCTGCATGGACTCGGAATCCTTCTTTAATCAAAATTCTTTCATTCTCTTTGGAGAGGTTTCTTTTCTGTTTTCATTTGATAGTGGGTTTCCTTCTTGTTTTCCACCATCCTTATATATTTGGTGACATTGAGGCATATGTGTGGAGGTTTGGGGGAAATCACCTTTTCAAAATGCAGAGTCTCAGGCTCCACTCCACATGCCCGGAATCAGAGTCCACATGTGACAGGATCCCAGATGATCCCTGTGCCCAGGAACGTCTGAGAGTCTCTGGTCTGACAGAGGCAGGGAGGCGCTGGTGGGTTTGGTGAAGGACTGCTCCTCACGCCTCTGTCTGCTATACCTCTTTCCAGTGTGTCCAGAAAAGTACTGTCCTGTGTCCCAATTTTAAAGGGCGGGTTGAGCATAATGCACTTGAGGCTTCCCGTCAAGTGGCGGCAGCTCCCCCTGAGCTCACGCATCCCCAGGGATGACCTGGAGCCTTGTAATAACAACATAGTCTTTTCATCTTCACTTCTTGATGCCAGTGAGCAAGGGAAATAATTAAAAGTTGCAATTTTTCATTAGTAGTTATGATATCCATAATATTAAGCAGTGCTTATATTTTTGTATTTTAAAGACAGATGAATCACTATATTAATCATAAATGACAATTCTACATGGAAAGTAAAGCAATAGGGGCCCCCATTATCATCATACTTGTGGGAGACGTGAGGCCAAGATGAAATAAATGCAATCAAATTCAGAAACACTATTATGTTGCTTGTTTGGTTCATTTGTTTTCTGGGACAACAGTCATAACATGGCACACACTGGGCAACCTAGAGCAACAAAAATGTGCCGTTCTGGAGGCCAGTCCTGCAAAGTCCAGAGATGGGGACCCATGTTCTCTGGTCCTTCTGGGAGGATCCTGCCTCCCTCTTACCGAGTGTGAGTGGTTTGCTGACAAGCTTTGGTGTCCCTTGGTTTGCAGCCACATAAATATTTTCTCTGCCCTCATCGTCACATGGCATCCTCTCCATGTCCTCTTGTGTTCTCAGGACCATATTATCAGAACACTAGCCACACTGAGTTGGGAGGACACCACAGTCTGATGTGGCCTCATCTCAACTAACTTCACCTGCAAAGATATTATATTTTAAATAAGGTCACCTTAAGCAGTACTGGGGATAAGGACTACAATTTATCTTAAAAGATGGATTTATTTAATTATACCCATAGAAATGAAGAATCATTTTTACAATTATATTTAAAAACATTTAAAATATTTTTAAAATGCAATAAGTGTGTTGCATTCACATGTTGCATGCTGTGAAAATGGAACCAAATAAAAGGAACTTCATTATAATCATCTACAAAAAAATCTCTCTGCACCACAGGCTTCTTTCTGAAGGAAAATTGTCTGATGTTAATCTTTAAATCTGACCCAGCTGTAGCTTTTATTTTTCTAACATGGGATAATTAAATACTGCTCTTTTTGTTTACATCCTTCCCAGTCATCCAGAAGTATCTTCCACTATAAGATTCAAATTGGGAGTGAGAATTAATTCAGACCCTTCCATTCACCTTTCTTTCTGAGGATATTTAATCTTTAGGCTGCCCTGAGAGCTCAGCTGTCTGGTCATGACATCACGTGATCCTGACATCACGGGATCATATTTGACTGACCCAGGCTGAGTCAGAGTTTGGGTTATGTCTTGTTCTTCCTCTGGTCTCTCCCTGTGCATAGCACCACTGTAGTGCTGCAGTAGTCCTCAGCCTGGACCACAGGCTGGGACCTGAGAAGGGTCAGGCCCCAAGAACTGAGATGCATTCCAGCATCATTTCAACTAAGGAGAGAAAGAGTGGAGAGAATCACAACATAGGGAATGTTAGCAGTGAAGGTTCCTAAAGCCATATTCTTGCAGGGAGGGCTCATGTGCACCTGGAACCTAGGAGTCCACTGGTGATACACTCTGAGGATAAACAGGATCCAGAATCCCAAAGGCTTCAGAGGTCAAGGAATGATTCACAAAGCCCAGGCCAGGTGCAGGCAACATCTAGGAGGCTGGGGGGTG